TTATCTCCTACTTTGAGGTAGTCAGCTATTAATGATCGCTTTGTAAATTTCTGGTCCTTATAGGGGTCCTAAATTAAACAAGAAAAATTAAATATATGAATCTAGGATTCACATGTGCAATCTGATACAACAGCTTTGGAAGTCGTTGTGGAGATTTATTTAAAAGCTAGAAATAGAACTACCACTACCAATTTTCTACAGCTGATATACACAAAGAACTTTATATCTCACTACTGAGATACTCACAGATTAGTGTTTATTGGTGATCTATTCACAAAAGCCAGGAAAATGGAATCAGTTTTTATATATCAAGTGATAAATGGATAATGAAAATATGGTATGTCTACACAGTAAAATTTTATTACACTAAAAGAAAAAAATGAAACTATGAATTTTGCAGGTGAATGAATAAAACAGAAGAAAATATATAGAATGTGGTAAACCAGACCAAGAAAATAATGTTTCATGTTCTTCTTTAATATATGACCTACTAATATTTTATTTGGAATTTAGTAATTATTAACTGGAGGTATATTGGGTTTCAGTGTTGTCTTATAATTGTTTATTTTCTTGCATTTACTGTAAAGAGACACATTTCAAATGTAAATTTTTAGGTATTCCATTTTCTATTTCACTATGGTATCATATAATTGTTAATTCTTCTTAACAAATAATAGAAAAAATTATAGAAACCATTTATGCTTGTAGGTTTTTAATTTATACTATTCATTTTTGTAATTTTTCATTTGCTATCTTTTGGTCGTAGATTTCTTATAATGATATTTTTATATTTAAATAAATTGACATTACTTTCCCCCTGCCATTCATTCCTCCATATCATTCTAGTAACCCTCTCTCAAACCCCTTACATGTTTCCCAACTCTGAAGTTCATAGATTTTTTTTCCTTTGATGAATATTGTGTACCTATATGCATATGTATGGATGTGTATGCATAAATATAGAAATATAACATATTTAGTCCATTTTTGTTGTTTCTGTGTTTATGGCTACTGGAAAATTTATTAGGGGTCTCTCCCAGCAGACATTTGTTTCCTGTATTTGTTTACCTGGTGCTGGGACCAAAGAAGGGGGGCTTGGGATGGGAATAGCAGGCTACAGGTGATTTAAAGTAAGAAGCAGATTAACAGAAGAGGAGAGAGGGAGAATTTTCTCCATACTGAAGGAGAAAAAATGATGGAAAACAAATAACACCAAAGTTGTTTAATAAAGTTTTAGGAGTTATTTTATATTTACCTAACTTGTAAACAATACATATAAGTGTGTGTTTGTGTGTGTGTGTGAGTGTGTGTGTGTGTGTGTGTGTGTGTGTGTGTGTGTGTGTGTGTGGGTCAAATGACCTTTCACATGCTCCCCTACAATAATCTTAGACTAACAAAATCCCTGGAATGAGAAACCTCCATTCAAAAGGTTGGTTAAGGTAAATCAAAATGACTCCCAAAATAAAACCGAATATTGATGTAGCCATTATTTACTCTTATAGATTGAGGGTGGGCCACTATTGATGAAGAAACCATGCTTAGGACAAAGGACTCAAATGACTTCTGCTGGATCAGACTTGCCCGACTCTTTACTAAATTCTGTGGTTCTAGAAAATATTATGCAAGCTGCCCTAAATAATCCGTAGCCACCTGCAACACCTATGAATCATGACAATTACCAGCATCTCAACAAGATATGCATAAAAATAGAATAAGTAACACTAATATGCCAGTGTATGTATAGATATTTTATTGAAGGAGATTTTTCATTTTTACTAACTATAGAAGTATTCAGACTCATTTTCATATTTTACAAGTTGTAATAGTGTTTCAATGTTCTCATTATACTCTTAGTATATGAAGGACCTTTAGTACTGCTCCTTTTTGGATGTTGAACTGGTTTTTCTTTTATTTTTCAATATACAAGAGCTTTTAAATTTTGATTGTTTTCCAAGAAGTACCTTTGATTTGTATTTATTATTCTCCTGAGTAAAAATAATATATCATAATTTCTATCCTTATCCTTATTTTTCTTTGTTTGGGTTTTGTATTACAATTTATTTTACTTCTTATGGTGGGAATTTGAATGTTGATCTTACCATTTTTATTAGCTTGTGTATACATTTAATGAATTAAATTCCTTTTTCTCAGAATTGTGTCACTGAGTTTTAGTGTGTTAGATTCACTTTGCAAAGACATGACAATATTTGAGATAAATATCATAAAATAATTAATGACTTAATTTGGCTTATGGTGAAAGAGGTTTAAGTTCATGGTCCCTTGCTTATATTGTTATTGGCTCTCTATATAATGCAGAATATTAGTACAAAGAACATGTGGTAGAGTGCATCCCTTATAGTGTCCAGGAAGCACTGACAGGGAAGCTTGAATGTGGATCCTATGTTCTCTTCAAATGTATGCTTCTAGTGACCTGACTTCCTTCTACCTATTAAAATTTCTCTTAGTTTGCAATGATACTATCAGCCAGGGAGAAAGTATTTAACACATGAGCAGAGAGAGGACACTTAAAATCTAAACCAATATATTTTACTTCCTGCTCTCCGAGGCTAAGGTCAATTTCTAAGCCAAAATGCATTCAGTCCATCCCCAGGAGTTCCAAAAGTCTATATATATTGTATATGTCTTATTTTTATTTTTAATTACTCATATTTACATATCCATCCCCCCATTCCCTTGCCCTCCCATCCTCCCATGTTTCACACTCACCCCACCCCACCCCACCCCCAATAGACTGTCTTGGACTCCTAGCTGGTACCCACATTCAGAGGGCTTGGTTCGGTCCAATGCTATTTCTCCAGCTTTATGACTAGAGTCTCCATTCTATCAGTAGGTCAGGTCCACTGTTTCTGCAGGTCTCTCTATCCCTGTCTTGGCTCCTTTGCTCCACCCTCCTTCCTG